TGTTATCCTTTCTTATGAACTAGTAACAAGGAAACACTTGTACAGCGAGAAAAAGCAATAGGAAGCAGTAAAATTTAAAATTTGAGATGGTTGTCCGCCATCTTGGATCCGCCATCTTGGATTTCCATTTTTTTTGTTAAAATTATAATTTAAAGCAACTTTCAAAGGGGAAAAACCTCAGAATGTATAAAAGAAGTATCAAACTAATGTTTATTACCCAAACTAATGACCTTGGAAGTGTTATTTAGAAAATAGAGCAGCATATTTGTCAAAGCAAAAAAGTTACAAATTTTACCCCACCCCTCCCCCCCAAATATTCGATGTTGAAACATTTTGATGCAATTTAAAAACTAGTCCCAAGCAACGACCATTTTAACAACAAAAAGCACTATAAGTGTAAAAACGCGATCTTAAAACAAAAAAATCACCATTTTTTAAATTTTCCAAAACCTATCTGTCAGAAACTGGTTGCCATGGCAACATGATTAATCACATGGACATGGTAATTATACCAAAATGTTCCTAGATAAATTTTAGGAAAAGTCAGAAAATTTGAACGTCATAGCTTTTTCGGTGTAGGAGTTATAACGATTTTGCCGGAGGGGGGTTCGAAAAGCCCCCCCCCCAGTCTGAATAAGGTTAAGAGCTTGAAGGTATGGGGAAGGATGGATACAAGACAATCTAGGAGAAATAAGGGAAGAATAGTGTACATCTTCCTGGGTGGGGAATAGGGAGGGGCGGGAGGACGTCAACAATCGCATATCTGAGCGCTGTTTACAGGCCAAACATCATATCGACTGGGACTCTGCAATATGTATAACGTAACCTACAAACTACAATAAACGACTCATTTTAGAAAGCTTGTTTACTTACTTAAATTAAACGCCGGCACCGAATCGTAGTCAACAGTTACCGGCACCGTACAAACGACTTATTAGGGAGCTTAAGCAACGACTACGGCGACGGTTACGAAAACGTCACTTAAAAAGTGAATTCGCGCGGCTTCAAACTTTATCGCACTTATTCCATCTCGTTCAATTCGTCAAATGTTGACATTTTTTGTTCTGGAGTTGAATTCTAAAAGACCGTATCGAAGTTCAGGAAAAGAGAGAGAAAGTCGTCGTCTTGTGTTCACGTCCTCCACAAAACTTGACATCAGGTATTTTCACGTTGTAGTCGTGCAGTGACGGCAAAGAAATGTACAAAACAGCGTGATGCACGTGCAGAGTTGTTGTTTTGCCAAGAATGAAAGCCTATTGATTTTTGCCGTTCTCGTTGACGTCGCCGTTGTCGTTGACAAAACCAGAGTTTAGTATCATCAACTGACGTGATGCAACTCACTTTGACTCTGAAGATGACTACCGCATTAATTAGGTTGTCGAAACGTCAGTCACTGTCATCATCAACAGCAGTATTCAGGACTACGTTCTCCCGGACGATCATACTCAATCTAGCTACTTATTTCCCATTACGTTAGGAAGTTTAAGGTTAACAGACAAAAACCGTCTTATTACAAAACATAAATGTTTGTTGCTGTTTTCGTTTTTCCTTTTTGTAATGTATCTCTCATTTTTTTTACTGTTTGTTTGTCTGTATGTTTTTCCGTATATTAGAATGTGATTATATGAGTCTCTCTAGAAACATTTTGTAGGTTTTTCCGCTAGGAAACGCGTAAAGCGTAGGTACAGTTTTACTTAGTTAACGCCCTAGGCATAATACACGTATACTCTATTATAAAAGAGGCAACGCAATACTAGAAATTATAAGTTATCCTGCTATCATTGGAGTTGCTGTCTCTGTCTTCGGGGAGGTCGCTTATTAGTACTAATTCAGTTTCAATTTCCATCTTATTATCACTCAAGTCAATAAGTGAATATTCTCGTGTTGCCTCTTCGATGTCTGACATCGCAACTCCCGGTCGTAACCTTGGGCAAATGGGTTAGTCGCCCGATAAGCAAATACAGCTTGCTGGATGAACGTTAGGCGATCTAGACCTGCATGACAATTTTGACCCTCCTTTAGGCAATGAATTTGGTCATCTTCATGTTGGAGCTCTAAGCGTTTACTAGCGTAGCTCCATAGCTGAGAAAATTTGGTAATCTATCCATCCGAGAAAATTTAGTTATGACTTCAGCGTACTACCGAACACTGAAAGAACAGACTCTGGTGGAGGGAGAAGGGAGTTAGGAGTTAGCCCGTTGGGGGAGGAGTATGTTATAACGCATCCTCATGGCTAAGGAAATTTGGTTCTATCAATATGAAAGATGTTGGTAGTAAGCTAGTGTGAGATAATATTGCAAATTCATGTTATAATCAAGTGACAGCTGTCAAAGTAGGGTATCCACTGACCGGTGTCACATGATCTTATCGTGGGCTCAAGTTTTGACCCTTTGAGGTTACGTGTTTTTTTTTCAAGTCATCTGCTGACAAATGATCGCAGGCTCAAGATTATTTTTTAACGAACACAGCACATGAAATAAGTTGCGCTTACGGGCTAGCGTCCGGACTCCGGACGCGAAAAGTCAGCCTTTTTTACAGGTAGGGAAGGCAATAGCTATTAAGATGTCTCTTGCACTTTAATACCACAAAGAAATTGACTTTGTTTAGCTTGGCCACGCGTTGATTACGCTCTACGTCCCATTCTTATCTCAGATTGGTCAAGATTTGCCAAGTGAGTTGAAGAAGAGGATTGTTTACTGATAGCAGAAGCTGGCAGATCTTTGTGTCGTCTGATCTTATTAATTTTTTAACCGTCTGTTTGCACTGAATCTGTGAGGCAGATATCAGAGGTTGTTCGGATAGATCAAGCACCGGAACGCTGTAAACATTCAGTGGAAAAAGACAGTTAAAAACATCACAAGTTGACACAAAACTATGTCAGCTTCAGCTGTCAAAGCAAATAAGTTTCAAGATGCTGCATAAATTTTCCTCATGAACTCACCTGTCAAGTTTTGACCAATCAGAGCATAAAAATTGGACGTAGAGAGTCAATATCAGTCTTCCTGTGCTCCCAAACTAGCTAGAAAGTGTGAGATTGAACGTTGGTTTCCCTGTGGTGCGGACGGACAGGCAGCGGGCGGGCGGGCGGTGTACGGTCACGTGATTACCAAATTTTCCTGGATGGGTAAACTTACTTACCCATGGTGCTCCGCAGGAGCGCTACGCGCGCAAGAGCTCCGCTATAATTTGTTGTGCAAGAGAAGCGCGTGCTTCGATCGTCCTGAATATTGAATGAGTGAAATTTGTCTTGTAAGATTATTCTGTAAAAAAACAACAGAATTAAAAGTAAAACGTGGCAAAAAATGACTAAGAGAGGATAAAGGAGACAGAGAAGGCATCCCCCATACACACCTTATTCCATAGGTAATTCGTCTCGAGTTGTTTTTAGAATCGGGATAAAATTACCTCGCGCGCTGCGTGGATCTTTCGTGGAGGTTTCGCATGACTAAACAGCATGCAAAACATGTCGGACGAAAGGTAATGAAAGCGTAAAGAGATCGAGAGCATTTCTGAATACTGAAGCGAAATGAGTCGGCGCTCACAAGGGAAAAGGGAATCGCTAGACTCTTTGACAACCCGTGAAATCAGTTTAACTCGATGTTATCGTAACCTCAGTGCTTTAATGAAATGAGAAATTTCGCCGGTCTATTGGAACCGGTCGTTTGTACAATAAAGAAAGTACCAAGTAATATTCATGTACATGTAATTAGTTTTACAAATTTGGATTTTATTGTAGTTTTTTAAGTTGTTAAGGGCTGTTGATCAGTGAATGTAAATAGCACTCTAGAAGTTATTAAATTATTATTATTATTATTATTATTATTATAGGACACCAAGTGTAATTTTTGTTGAATAATAAAAGACTAATAAAAGAATAAATTGTGAAAGGTTTTGAAAAGAAAAGAAAAGAATAAATATCAAACCAGAAATTTCTCTCTTCAAACTGTAAATTATAAGTGATCCTGAGAGAATATTTAGTGTGTTAAGGATTTCCCTGCTGTACTATTAGCTCTATACAAGAGAGGAAGGGCGATTTTTTTTAAATTTCCGTTTCGCTGACACAGCTTTAGCAGAAATCTCTCTTTAGTCGTTTTCGTCGACAAAACGAATAGCAATATTGCTCTCCGCGTCTTCCGCCATTTTTTTCTGCCTCAATTCGTGAAGGACGCGTGGCTCTGAGCGTGGGTCACGCACGCGGAACACATTCGCGCTATGTGATTCTAATCCCCCTTGGGATCTGTGGTCTTAAAAATAACTCGAGACGAATTACCTATGGAATAGGGTGTGTATGAAGGATGCCTTTTCTGTCCCCTTTATCCTCTCTTGAAATGACATAATCTCTATCCGAGGTATGAACGACAAACAAACAGCGCCTAATAGTACTGTTTACATCAGAGATGATGAAGGCTGCTTGATACGTGCCACCAGATTTTTAAAGTAAACTCGTAGTGAGCCGCACAAAAAAGCAATCCGACCAAAATTTTGCATTTTGGCCTTTCCTTTAGACAGAGAGATAACACCAATAAGTTTGAAAATAAATTGTTGTATTAATTGGCTGCCACAGAGGAGAATCGTGTCTTAACGGCCTTTATAGCATAAAATTGTATTTTGGGACTGTCCAATTAATTACCCTTATAAAATAGAGGTGGTATAGGTGGCCAAATAAGTTATTTTGCTTGAAAATATATATATTTTTTTTCCACGCCTAATCTACTGTGATCAAAGGTGATTGCTATTTTTGGGGTGTGCACATAAGACTATAAACTCAATGTAAGAGTTTAGATGTTGATTCCTGCTTGCACTGTTTTAAAATTATTTTTGTTCTCTAGAATCACCCAGCCCTATATCTTTTAAAGTCAAATGGATCTGTCCAGTTAACTGATTGATGGATAATTTACAAGTTTATTGTTTGATTTAAATTATACCTGGATTCTTGAAAATCGGTTTAGCAAAAATATCAACTCATTCTAATACTTGGCAATTTAAAACATAAAACTCATTAAAAGGCCGATTAAAAGCCTTATCTGAAGCCGGGCAGTAAGTTAATGGTCCCTAGAAGCATTTCAAAGAGTTTAAAACTATGACGCAAATTCTAGAACATTTATTCAGTAATCCGACTTCTCGAAGTTTCAAACCAATGTCATTTAAGTCTGGAAATTTTTAAGTTGAGTGAACTGCAGCAAAAGAGTGCCTGGTTAAGGCTTACATAACAACTTAAATAGTTAGCAAAACAAGATAGTAATCCTGTCTACATCCACTTCTACACAAATCCCTAGCCACAAACAAGCCAAAAAAAAAAGTAAAGAAAGAGAAAGACAAGCAAACAACACAGTAAACAAGTTATTAGACAGGGGAAGTTGAGAAAAATTACAAAATGCTTGCTAACTGAGGTAGATTAAGGCCTGGGTCTAAGTCATTTATGGTTTTTATGTACAGTTTCCAAAAACAATGGTTAAAGACATCCACGAGGGACGTTATATGGTAAAGTAAAGGAAACTTAAAAAAAACTTGAAAAAAGAAATTAAAATTACTTGGTCACGTGATCGACCACGCCCTTCATTGTTCAAAAATTGTAACCAACGATTCCCGCCACTTGCAAACTAGTAGCTCCGGTTTGTCTGTATCAAAACATTGTCCCTACAAAGTGTCTACGAAATCAGCTCGGAATGGTTCGAAGCATTACAATTGGCCTGTGCAATTGGTGTTCACTGACTAGTGCCAGTCCTCCTCTAAATACAATTATCGACAGGAGAAAGACGAATACTGTACTTCTAGGTTTGTCCAGCTCAGCAAATATTCTCCAAATAGCAGATGTCGCCCTCCGAGTTGTCTTCGTTATGTTTTTGCCATATTTTTAGTTATTATTTCGCCTAGTTCCAGCTGTAGTTCTTACTCTTGAAACGAGTGAAATGTCCGCCATTTTTTTTTTCACAACCAAAACAACTCAACCTCGTCCCCAGGTCTTCTCGGTTAACGGCGCCTTCCTGTAGAGGGCTGCATTTTTGACGTCATTTCCTCGTGAAACACAAAATTCTTCCAAATTTGGTTATCTGTAACTGGTTATGCTGAATTATACGCGTGCTGTGCTTTTAGCCAATCAGAATTTGGGGAAATATTTTGAATGAATAATAACAACTTTTTCTGCCTTTTGGGTGGGTGCTTATTCGAGGTGGGCGCTAATTCGAGGTTGAATAAATACGGCTTGCAGTAATATTTTATTGCGAAATTATATGCTACTGATCATTCAAGGGGTCAGAGGTTCAACTGCAAACTTTAGCTTGATTTTGCCATATGTATAATTATCCAAGACAGTCTTGGATTCCGGATTACACGCAGTGGATTCCGGATTCCAGTTACTAGATTCCAGATTCCCGATTCTCAGAATTCCGGATTCCTTGGTAGACAGGTACCTGTAATGACATAATTATCCCTATACACACTTCTCAGCATGCTTCAAAGTAAATTAAAACGCGGTTTTTTTACAATAGAACAAGGCAAAAGTAGCCAATTTAATTGTAAGAAGGAAAAAAAATAACGTTTTTGATGGCAATTTTCTCATAGTAATTTTCAATCATTTCAGGTATTTTTTTCTTGTTTTCGGTTTGTTACTAAAGAGCCTCTGACCCTAGGTGTTGACGTGATGTTCATTTGCCTGAAACAATCACTATAAGGCTGTGTTCACACCATAGCGGATAGCTGTTCGTGCCGACAGGAAAAGCTATCCGGTAGGTATAGTGCACATGACTTGACCACCTATCCAAAATGTGACTCTCCACTTTTAAGAGATCGGAAGCGGCACAGCTATCCGTTATACGCTTAAACATAGCCTTAATTTATTATTATTATTATTATTAGATAAGTTTCGAAGATTGTACACGAATGGAACGGTCATCTAGAAATTTTAGTCGTCCTCAAGTAATATATTTTTTTTGTTGTTCAGAAAACAGTCGTTGGGTGCCCCTTTTGAGCCGACGCAATTGACTGCGTACCGCACAACCTTCACTATTTGGAAGACTGCCCACCTTTAATAAGCAGTTACAAAAAGGATTTATCTGGACTAAATGACGGTAGGGTAAACAGGAGTTCAAATCTATGCAACAACTTAACGTATTGCAGTCCTGTGTTAAAAGATAACAATGGAATTAATGATACTCAAAGGGACTGGTATAATTGTAAATTGTAATTTGTTAACCCACGGAGCACTTAACAGTTCTTAACTATTCGTTGAAACCTGTCCGTGCGTTCTAGATAAAACTGGAATTTAGAAATGTTGGTTTTCAAGGATAGGGGAAAACTGGAGTACCCGAGGAAAAACCTCTCGGAGTAAAGGAGAGAGCCAACAACAAACTCAACCTACATATGTTGACGACCCCAGGATTCGAACCCGGGCCACATTGGTGGGGAAGCGAGAGCTCTCACCACTGCACCACCCTTTTTCTTAAGGTATGAACTTTTGTACAAGTTAAGAAGAGGGTTTTAACTTAGTTTTGGCGCTTGGCTGCAAATTACTGACTTGGAGAGATCCCGACATCATGTAAATGAATAAAATTGTCATAGTGACACAATACAGTTATAAAATTCGGTCACTTAATGAATGTGAAGACGTGACCGTCGCCAATCAAAGGTAGTCATTAACTTACGGATACTGAGACCTTTGAAGTGTTCTTCCTAGTGATAGCCCTCGGCCCTAACAAGATGACTGCTAACTTCCGAGTAAATACCACTTGAGCGGTTTAGTTAATTATTAACCACAGAGCATCACTTATATCATGACTTGGAGAGAAAATAAGAAAATGCCTGCGACACTTTGTAACATGGTTTCATTCACAGGTGGTATAGAAAGATTATAAGAATAACAAAAATAAAGAAATTTACACTTCCATGAAAATAAAAGATTTTCATCTTTATATTTAAGGTTCAACTAGGTTAAAGTCAATTAGAAGATAGAGAAATTATTATCATGTCCAGGTACCTGCTCCGAATCTTGATATCAGATACACCTTCCTTTCACATTTCTCAGCATGATAAAAAGAAATCAACAGAACGATCAATTCAGTATATGAATACGCCTTCTTAAGTTGGATAGCAAATACTCTGTAATTTGAATTCACTGTATTACTGTCTGTTTTCCAGCGTCATTCTCGCCTGAAAATGAAGATTAAGAAAGCCAGTTGCTCACAGAAAACACAGATAAAGAAAGAAAAGAGTAAAGAAAATCAAGAAGTGTTTACCTTTCGCGGAGCGGGTATATTTATACAACAGTCCCGCAGGAGACCGAAGACAAATAGAAACTTTATCTTTGAGCTAAAACAAGAGGTATCCGTGTTAAAAGTTAAACATTTTTCCCATCAGATTATTTCCTTGCTATCCCTTTAAACAGGGTAGAAACCTCAAAATAGGCCAGGGTGCCTGACAGATACAAGGTAATGCCTGACATTTTCATGATTTTCTTTTTTAATTTAACTTAAGGAATGATGCTCTACACTGTAACTATTAGGCAAGGTTGTCTAGCCTGCGAGCTAACTTTCCATTTGGGAAATATCTTAAAAAGTCAAGCACACGCGCGAGCACAGCACTTCTAACTACAAATCAAAGTGCTCTGGTTACCCATAGGCTACCTGATACAATTATCTACGAACTGGAGCTTAGCATGCGGCATAGTGGAAACTAAACTCTGTCTGCGAAACAGCACCGAAATCCTTGTTCTAGTCCCCCACTTGTGTACCAAGATTTGAATACGCGTCAGGATTGACCGGTCAAAAAAGCCATTGTTGATTTGCCAATCAGAATAAAGGAAGTTCAAAACGCACTTCCGGTAATTCATTAAGTCTGCTGGAAGGCCCAGACGCAGGTTAACTGGAGCTGAGCTGCGTTAAAACTGCCTTTTCCCGTCGTCGTCTTAATTCCCAGGTCTAGCTCAGCTGGCCATATTATGTCTCGTCCACTCCGGATTCAGGAATGCGAGACATTTTTGCTTGTGGTTTCAGGAAAACTGTGCTTTGGCATACGAAACAGAGCTCAAAAGATCCGGAATTCTGCTATAATTGTTATCCGGAATCCAAGTTCACTAACAGATAACCTGTTGTCCATTACATTGAATCTGGAATCCACATCTTGGAACCCAGATTTCATGATTGTCTTGGATTCCCTTACACGAGGTGACTGGTGAACAGTTTGCGGGCATATACCATGTGGCACGAAACTTTTGCGGCTTCTAATTTTTGCGATTTATTGCACTTTTTTTCAGCGATCCGCAAAAACAAGTTCCCGCAAATAAAATTTAGCCCCAGACTTTTTCCCTCAAAAATTTTCTCCAGAGTAAATATTAAAGGTTGAGTTTGATCGTCCGGGTGAACGTAGTCCTGAATAGGACTGTTGTTGTTGACAGTGACTGACGTTTCGACAACCTGTTTTGTAGTCATCTTCCAATTTCGTAATCACCTCTTGACGAGGAGCTGGTGTTACAAGCGTGTACTTGATCAGTAGCGTTGAATAACCGTGAAATATTCTGTGGTGCTAAATTGTTTGTGATATCGTGCATGAGAATAGCAACTGATTTGAAATAGAGCATGTTTAGGGGAAGAATAATTAGAGGACAAAAAATATGGAATCGCGTGAGCTGTATATTGGCCAAAGTGCATCAAACGAAGGGCACGCCTTTGCAGCAAAAACAGTTGCCTAAAATGGTTAGCATGAGTCTTGGCCGCCTGTCTCCAGGCGATTATACCATATGACAAATAAGAGGTAAAAGAGGGCTTTATAAATAGTCTGAAGGGTATTCAACTGTGCGAAGTGTCTGAGTCTAGCAATTATGCCGTTTTTTTTTAACTATTTTTTTTTTCATTAATATAATTAATGTGTTGCTTCCAAGTCAAATTGTTAGCAATGAGCACCCCCAAGTACTTAACGTAAGTTTTGCATTCCAGAGGAATGAATTTTTTAGAATAATGGTCAAATTTTTTTAGATTTACTTGGTGGTTGGGCCTTTTTTGGTAAGGGTGGAAAATAATGAAGTTGCATTTTTCAATGTTTAAAGATAATTTGTTTGCAATTAACCAGATATACACTAAGAAGTTCACAATTAAAAACAGTCTCAACAGATTTCAAATTTCGGTCAGCGTAAAGCAGTTTTGTGTCATCAGCGAATAGGTAAAACTTTAGTTTATCGGAACAATTTTGCATACGTTAACATATAGTAGAAAAAGTAATGGTCCAAGGACCGAACCCTAGGGGACACTGTACTGTCGCAATTTGTAATAATCATCGCACTATGTAATACCTGTCGCAATTTGAAATAAATCCATCGCACTTTGTAATACCTGTCGCAATTTGTAATAAACCGTGTCGCACTTTGTAATAAAAAAGCTGTCGTTGTTGACAATGCCTCGAATACCGTAGTGCTTCTCTAGAAATATGGAGTGATTGACCGTATCGAATGCCTCTCGTAGATCTATAAAGATACCGCACGAGAAAAGTTTGTGATCCATATTTGTTTGTATTTGGCTTATTAAGTCAAGACTGGCATGTTGTGTGGAATGCTTATCGCGGAATCCATACTGTGATTTATAAAATATTCCTTGCTCGTCCAGATATACCTTTGAACGATTATACATGAGTTTTTCGAAAATTCGGTTGAAAACGGAAAGGAGTGATATTGGCCTGTAACTGGATGGAATGGTCTCGTCATCATTTTTGGAAATAGGTATTACTTTGGCATGCTTTAGTTTAGAAGGATAGATGGTGGTTTTAACTGATTTGTTTATTATGAATGATAGAGGATAACATAGTGTGACTAACTAATTAAGATACGGAAAGGCAAGGAGTATGATCCAAAAGCTTATTTGACGGGATCATCATTATTTCCTCTTCAATTTCCTTGGGCCTTACTTGACAAAAAAATAAAAGAGCCTGGATTACTTAATCTTGGGAGGTATGAAGTAAACTGAGTGGATGGCTTTGGCATTTTAGAAGATAGAGTTTGGCCAACTGATGAGAAATTATTATTGAAAATATTTGGGAACTCAGTCGGATCATTTAATAGTTTATTACTTCTTTAGCGTTTTAGAGCAAAAATAGCTTTTTGTTTCTTATTCTGTCGATTTGTGAGTTCCGATTTATACTTTGCCATGTTTTTTTTGGTATTAGTGATATGTTCCTCAAAATATTTGTGGAAATGCATTTTTTCACTTAGACTTATGAGCATTGAGACTTATTGCTGTAAGATTTGTATTTGTCTCTGTCACCAGATTAGAAAAGGGAATTCTTTATGTTGTAAAGTATCTTGATTTCATTCACGTACGAAAGAGTTTCCTCGTAAAGACTGGGCAAGTTTTCAAATAATTACACACTATAGTTACAATTTAATATAAACTCCAAGCCTCCATATCTCTCAAGAGGTGGTCAGGGACAGTCTTCTAGTTTTGGTAGCCTTTTTTTTAACAGTCTGGGAATCCATTGCGCTTTAATTTACCATGCATTCTGGATCGGTCATACGCAACCCTCCATTACTGTAGTCTTGGTATAGCTTAGACAATGCAGTTCTTTTTATTTTCTCGTTTTTATTCTTCCATTAATAACTTAAAAGCTTTCTTTTGATACCTTTTAACGGTGGGTATCACCTCCTTTGGTACGACAAGGTTGGATAAAGAGTAAATAAGATGAGATATCCCTAAGGCTTTGATAACTAATAATCTACCAAACAAGGTTAAACCACGCGCTCCTCAAGGTTTGTTCAGGTTTGTTTGGAATTTGTGGATCTTGCAATCAAAATTCTGGTAATCATTCCTCTTTTGGTTATAGGATAAATCAATTCCCAAAAATTTTATCGCGCACTTAATCCACTTAAGGCCTAAGGCACATCACGAAGAGTTTAAGAGGCTGTCCGCGTAAGAACCGATAAGGCAAATTTCGGTGTATCACAGATTGCCCTGATTTTTTCAGTGGAAGATAACTATCCTATCCCATGAAGAAATATCACATTTATTTGGACCAACTCAATTTTTTCTATATATTACAGGAAGATTTTCTCGGTCACCTAAAACTGGCCCGTTTGCCGTCAGAAGTGGTGCTATTTTGGTGAAACTTTAGGGCTCTGTCAAACCTACCTTACATAGCCGAATAAACTGATTATTTTACACACAAAAGTTTTAACTCTGATTAACAGTGTCAATGTTTAATGGCTGCATTCTGTGGAAAGTTGGCTGAGATATGATTTTTTTAAAATGACCTTTAATTTGCTCAGCAGGAAAAGTAATTTGCATAACTAGAGCTGAACGGTAATTTCGCAAAAGTGGCACCTGACCCAGACTCAAGTCTATGATAAATCAGAAGTACTAAGACCAGTCTACTTCTTAACGTAATAAACTTTGTGGGCACTCTTCTCTGCGCGCTGTAAAAAGTTCCGTTAATGTTCCAAAATTCGCCATTTTGACAGCAAAGCTGGAATTGTAACGGGCCGCATTTGATCGACTAATTTCCACAGTTTTAACGTTTCTAGTTATCACCAAATGTCATTAGACCCTTTAAATGTTGGACTTTTGAAAACATGGGGTGAAAACTTAGTAATCGCTTTTTCTTGGTTTTTTTCCTTATCGACGATCAGAACGCGACTCCATTCTCCGTATGCAAATTAGCCATAGATGCGTCGTTTCAACAAATTGACAGGAAACATAACTGCTTATATTTCACATTTTTAAGGGAAAAATATCTCTTCTTTCCACGGAAAAACACGAACGATATATGACTTAGAATCCCCTTAGGTCTGTTTCTCTTAAGGGAAGAAGCAGTAGAAGAAGATATACGTTTACGCGAATTAAAATAATTTAATTACTTTGGCCCGTCACGCATTCCCCGAGAGTGGCCGTGTATCGATCAGTTCTTTTATCTGATTATATTTTTTTTGAAGTGATAGTTATTGATAATCATACAATTTAATCACTGTTACTTCCGATTCTTTACTGGGTGGGAAATACCGTGCTGTTGTATTTATTCATTCTACGACCATTTTAACTGAGTCAGTATCCCCGGGCGCCACCGTGAGGATAGGGTTTAATATGACAGCCCATGGTGTAATACACGACAATTAGCTACAAAGTAGTCACTTGGACACGGTCAATCTTATTCACGAGCACTAGCACAATATTTTTCAATTACAGAATTAACAATTAATATTTTCGAAATAGCTCGCAAACAACTTCAGAAATACCGTGCGACACCACAGGACCACACCTGCAAAGTCCTTTAGGCCCCACATTTCCTAGATCCTTAGCTAACTATAGCCTACCCTACAAACTTTTGGGTGGTATAAACAGAGCATTTTGTTTATCGCCAATTAACAACATTTCAGTAAAAATGAGGAAAGGTATGCAGAAAAAGGCATAATTATTGTTTACGGTCCGTCTCCTGTCAAATCCCAAAAGTTTTTGCCGGCTGTTAATCACACTAAATTAAGGATCCCTATGTTCACTCCTGAGCTGATGGAGAAAAGCACGTGCAATCTTGTATGAAAGACGAAAGTTTGTCAATTAGGTCTCCTTTACTTTCCCTGGATTTTAATGGTATTTCAAAGTGACACAAGATTTTTTTAGCATTACCACGTTGAAATGACTAGGTTGTTCTCCCTTTGACATTACACATAGGTTGAAAGCTTCTGGTTGAGGGTGTTGTGGTCTCAATTCTTCAGCGATTTCTGCAACAAGGTTTTGCCTTTCGAACTTCTCGTCTTCTTGCAACAGATCTCTATGGTCAAGTTAAACTTGCATACACTTAGGACTATGTTTACGTGTTGACTCAAACGGGCCTTTTAGTCCAACATGGGCTGGCAATATGTGAGCACGGAATTGGAACGGGGGTGCGGGGAACTCCCTATGATGGCCTATACGGGGAGGTTCCGCCCGAAAGGAGTATCTTTTTCAGGCTTAAGGTATATGAAAGGGTGGGCATTTTACTAGATGAAGTATATAAAAGGGAGAGTGTGCTTATTGCAGCCTTAGCAGCATCTTTGGCGGTTCTTAAAGAAAAAAGAACTAAGTTTAAGAATTTAAGGACTAGACTTAGAAGGACTTAGAAGGACTTAATTTTTCAGAATTAATATACACGGGAGAAATTTCACCCCCTTAAGTACAAATGCTTGTAAAAGTAGAGGTGGAACAGTGGGGAGAGAGGGTGGAT